AGCATAGGTCGACTATCTGAGAAACTCATGATCTGTTCTTGATTGACAACAGAAAATAAGCAAGTTATTAACACACTTCATTTTATCCGAAGAAAAAGTAAACGGAGTGAGGGTATGTCATGACACGGCACTGGAAGGATTGCTCTCATCACTTCATAATTTCATGATACCCGAATACACCTATTGATCACAGTATTCAAAGGAAAGACCCAGAAATCCCTGCAGAAGGCTCACTGTGAAACAGAACTTTCTTGCCTAGATCTACCATATGGGTATTGTCGACGAGGGCAACAGCACATCCTCCCCATCCAGCACCCGTGAGGCGTGCTCCTAGAGCGCCTGCGTTAAGGCACTCGTCAACCAGAATGTCCATCGAAGCACAGCTGCATTCATAATCCTGAAAGAGACAGAAACAAAAGTCTTGTGTTGTTGTAAAAAAGTTGTAGTTGTAAATTCATGGGTGAAAATTCACCTTGCTACAACTCTCATGACTTGCAATCATGAGTTTTCCCATCTCAATCAAGTCATTATTTTTGCATGCTTCTTCGAATTTGTTCACTCGATCCGCTTCGCTATACACATGTCGAGCACGTGATCGCAATTTGAATAATTTCACTGGAATGAGAATGAATTGGATTCGCGCAATCACTGGCAAAAACGACAATTCGTGAAAATATTAAGGGCACAATCGTGACCCGGCTACCCGCAGCTCCTACCCTTGTCAGGTAAAAGCAGCTTGAACATCCTCGTTATGCGCTGTTCTGTCTACGAGCCAGACATTCACTCCCTAGGGGCTAAGAAACCTCACTTGTGACTTTGGTCGGTGTAACGACATTCGACACTCTTGTCCTGCATGACAAGAAAAGACTAATTTATCCATTTCTTTTGACCCACCGAGTTGCGAGAGAACTCGATTTCGCTCCGCGTCATAAAAAGGCGCCACCCTTTCGCCTAAGTCACAGCACGCGCCTTCAAGGGAAAAAAGCGGAAAATCTAGCCTACATCCAGCCTTGCCCCATATATCTTGCCTTGTTGCGAAGTTGCCACCTTTTCTGCTGCAAAAAAATAAACTGGCAGCATCATTCCCGCAGCAAGGCAGGATGTCGAAAAGCGAAGTAGCTGTTGTGGGCGGCTAATATGTTCCTGCCCATGTTTTTCTCTTGTGAGCGCTAGCTTTGGCGTTCAGAAATGCTCGTTTTTTTAGGCTGGTCCTCGCGGGAATTTTGGGCCGCCATGACTCATGGTTACGAAGGCCATCCGGGATACAGCATACTCATAATGGAAAATGTGTAGGAGAGTCAGAGTTCAGGCGCGAGCTGAGAACTTCAAATTGTAGCGCAAGGCGGTCGAATGGCGCAGCTGTCGGCAGTTATACAGGGGCGCCTTGGCCATTAATGCCACTTCCATCCCGACTTTGCAGTCCATCTATTGAGTCGTACAACTAGTCCAGATCGCTCACCACCTCAGTTGACGTAAATGATCGAGCAATTGAGGACAATTAAACAAACAACAAAAAGAACAATTGTATGCAAAACTACTACGAGCAATTGAGGATAATTGAACAAACAACAAGGAGAACAATTGCATGCAAAACTACCTAAAAAGCGCACCACTTGGGCTTGTGCCACGTTTTTTTTCCGCGACTGTACCAGAGCAAACTGCGAATCGATGTAAACAATATTCACAGAAATCAAACCTACTGTGTTGGGTATTTGGACTTAGACACTCTGCAACCGTATCTTTTCCTAGTATGTCCTCCAGCTGTTCACGAGTTGCTGTTTCGGGTAGAGATTCGCACATGACCACCATTTCTTCTAGTGATTTTCCGAGAGCTTCCTGAAGAGGATTGCTGAGAAAAGTGCTCACGATTCCTTCCATCAACGTAATTTACTAGTATCACATAAGGAAGGGGATCGTTTTTCCAATTACAGCGATATAAAAGTTTCCACTTTTAAACTGACACATCATGACAGGAGTCCTCAGATCCACCTCTGAATTAATTACTAACCTGAACATCCTTCAAACGCCACGATTCAACTGACACATCTCCGGCACTTCGCAAAAGAAGCTGAAAATGTAAGAGTACTTTCAAAGTGCAAAATGTAGAAACTGCTTAACAGCACCCCAGGGTGCGACGTCAATTCTCAACAGAACATGAAAAGAAGACCTAGACTGAGTAAATGGCCGCCTTCTAAATGATCAATTTCTCTGACCGAAATAACATGCCAAGCAATTTTTCTTCAGAATGCGAAAAAAGTCTCTTTTCTCAGACCT